TTTTTTTTAAGTACACAAAGAATCCACTTCAGACCTCTCTTCCCACTGCCATGTATCCGTACATTTTCACATGTATGTCTCACAGGCATTTTGAGCTAGAGATGTCCAAAACTCAATAACCAGTCACCTCCCAAAAGGAGTTTGCCTCTATGTTACCTAAATCAGAGAATGACACCCCATTTATCTAGATGCTCAAGCCAGAAAACTCTCATTCATTCAACAGATGTTTACCAAGCATCTACAATGTCTAAGGACTTGTGTTGGGCTGTAGATATACGATAGCAAATTGAGTAGTCCCTGTCTTCACCAAAACTTGTTTATGGAACTCCATTTCCTTGATTTCTCTCACTTCTGCCCTCCCAGTTCCATCAGCCATCAAGTCCTGCCACTTCTACCTCCTAAAATCCTTGGGGATGTATTTCTATCCACACTGGCAATACCCTAGTATAGGCTGCCATCTTCTTCTCCCTGGATTACTACAGTGATGTCCTAACTGGTCCCCTCCCTCTAGTCTTGCGGCTCTTCAATTCCATTTTCTCACGTAGCCACATTCATCATCTAAAATATAAACTCAAGGGTTAGCCCAGTGGTGTAGTGGCTAAGTTCTTGCACTCTGCTTCGGTGGCCTGGGGTTCGCAGGTTCAGATCCTGGCCGCCGGCTTAGCACAGCTCATCAAGCCATGCTGTGGAGGCATCCCACATAAAACAGAGGAAGACTGGCACAGACGTTAGCTCAGCGACAATCTTCCTCACAAAAATAAAAATAATATAAAATAAAATACAAACCTAAATATGTTGAAACCCTTCAAACTTACAATTACCTTTAGGAGGAAGTCCCAACTCCTTAACACGACTAGTAATGCTCTTCATGATCTGGTCCCTATTTACCTCTCTCGCCCTCTGTCCAGAATCTCTCTTCCTAGACTGTGCTCTCCTCTCATGTCTGAGCCTTCTAAGAGTCATTACCTCTCTCTGGAACACATGCCTGTCACCCTTTAACCTAGCCAATTCCTAGCTGTTCTCACACATCAAGACAATCAGACTGAACTAATTTTTTTTTTTAAGGAAGATTAGCCCTGAGCTAACATCTGCTGCCAATACTCCTCTTTTGCTGAGGAAGACTGTCCCTGAGCTAACATCCGTGCCCATCTTCCTCTACTTTATATGTGAGACACCTGCCACAGCATGGCTTGACAAGTGGTGTGTAGGTCTGCACCTGGGATCCGAACCAGTGAACCCCAGGCCGGTGAAGCTGCCGCACCACCAGGCCGGTCCCTGACCCAGTTTTTTAAAACATTACTTGTTTCCCTTCCCTATGAGAATATAAGCTCTGTCAGGTCAATTATCAGATTGGTTATTACCACATCTGCTTGTTCACAATTGTATTTCCAGTATCTAGCTCAGTGTCTGGCAGAAAATGAGGGGCTCAATAAATATTTTTTGAATGAATGCCAAGAAAGCCAGGAGGAAAGTCAGCTAATTTAGATTATGGCACAGGGAAAGACTTCTTGGAAGACCTCTGAATAAGAATAAGACCTCTGAAGAATAAGGAAAATCAAAACAGTCTAGAGAAAAGGTCATGAGAAAAGGTCTCAAAGTATAAAACAGCCTCATAAATGGGAAGTGGGTGTGATGGGAAACGAGATTGTTAGCATAAACTATGGCAAGATCATGGAGGTCCCAGCATGCCAGGCTATGGAGGTGGACTTCATCTTAAGAGATGCTGGGAGGAGGGGTTGTAGAAATTTAAGCAGACAAGTGAAATGGTCAGATTTACATTTGAGATTGATCATTCTGGCTGCTACTTCTTACAAGATGAATTTAGGGGTGTAGGTGGGAGTGGTAATGCTGGACAGCAGCAGTGAGATAGACTGGTAGCTGAAATGAAAGGAAGAGACAAATCAGAGCTGGAAGGGCTCATGAGTCCTCCCACACGGATCTATCCTGAAGGCAAGAAAATAAGTCTGAATCTCAAGGGAGAAGTCAGATACAGCAGTAGTTTTAGGATCCACGTAAAACAAGTGGAGGATATTCCCAAGGGGAAGATACAGACAAAAAAACAAGGTTGGAAGTTACACTATTTAAAGGGCGGGCAGAGAAAAAGCCCCCTAAGAAGTGTGAGGCAGGTAGAAGAAAAAGGAGAGAAGCGAAGGGAGTTAGGCTGCCAGGAGGGTCTAATCAATGGTATCAAATGCAGCTGAGAGGTCTAGAAAGAGAAGCACTCATCGATAGCATATGTGGAAGAGTCATATTTCATCTTCTGAGACAGCTAAGAGAGAGGTAGATAAATGTGGCAGTGAGGGAAATGGGGAGGCGGGAAGTTAAGGTATATGTTGCATGATGGCTTGAATTTTCTCAATTAACTGGGAACAAGGTTACTGGAAATGTCTGTGGCCCCTAGAGAATCTGTACTCAAATGAGTGGGTGCTTGATGGCAAGTCAGGAGTAGGACTCTGTCTTGGTATTTCACACCACACCAGACCAAGTGAATCAACTTTTTGCCCTAATTTATCTGCTAGAAACAAAGCGGAAACAACAATTTGGAACCCCTATCACTTAAAAAAAGACATTTGTTTTTTTTAACCAAAAGTACTAGCTACGGCAGGAAAACCACTTGCATTAAAGATAAAGTCCCAGTTGCATGCTGGCATGGTCTCACTGAGCACCCCCATCTTGTCACTCAAAGGTCTGCTCAGTCCTTACAGCTCTGTCATCCAGCCTCTAAAGTGCAATCTAGAAAGGGAACATGGAATGAAAATTAGAAAAGGAACAGGCATAAAAATTGCAGATGTGTGTGAATGTCTTAAGTGCTTGAAAAATAATTTTTAGACTACTCTGGCCACCTTCTAATAAAGACAGGAGTTGAGGCTAGAAAGGGGGTTGAGCAAAGTGGTAGTTGGTGAGAAATTACTGAAAATTATTTGACTGGGAATTGATGAATGATAAAGGATTGTCAAGAATCAGGGGGTGAGCTGAAGCTGAAGAGCAAGAATCTGTTGTATGTCACTTTGTGTTATTTTCTCCAGGGTAACCAGTTGGGGACTTATGGGATGGGTTCAGGGTTAAGGTTTTGACAGGCCCCTAGGTCAGAGGCGTCAGACACAGGGACTTCAGATGCCGATAAACTGCACAGTCTAGGTTGGAAAGGGAGGTAACGGCAGGAGGGCTGACAAGGAAGATGAAATAGAAGAGTATATGGAGCAGGTGAGGGTATATAGGTGTAGGAAAAAAAAACACTAAAGTCATAAAGAATACTGGAGTCTCATTTTCTGCTGTAGTTAGTGTCTTTATGGATGAGGACAAAGCTCTAGAAAGTCTAGATAGAGATTTCTGATGCTCTGCCCTCCACTTCACACTGACCAGTAACACGCAAGTGAATTCTGAAAAAGTCAGATTTACCCTCGTAACTGAGATAATTTGAATAAATATCCATTCATTTTTTCATAAATAATTTTAATTCTAATATAACTATCAGCTTGCCATTTCTATAGCAAAATTATCCCTCCTATAAACAAGCATTATTTTGTAGATACAGTTGTCCTGCTCTTCTTTCACTTCCTTTTTCTCTCTCCACATGGTTCATCCTATTCTTGGCTTACATAAAGCTCTCTTTTCTTGTCTGGACTCGCAACAACAGTTCAGACATTTGTTGAGCACTTACCATTTGCAAGATATTTTACTAGGGACAATGTATAAATAATAGCCAAAATAATGGCTTGTACTCAGCGAGTGCTCACAATTCTGCCAAGCATGGTACCTGAACCAATCCATTTAACGTGTATGACACCCTATAAGTCCGATAAGATTATCATTGTTATTTTAAAGATGCGGAAACCAGTTTAGTTAGATTAAATGACTTGCTTAAGTCCACACAGATAGTAAATAGTGTGATGAGGGATTTAAACCCAGCTCTTGCCGACTTCAGAGCTGTGCTCTCAGCCACTATGCCATACTCCTTTGCTCCACCTCTAAGGACACACGGCCTAGAGGACGATGGGCAGGCACAAGTAATCAACTTGATTTTAAGAGCCAACAAGAAGGGTCTTTTTTCTCTCCTTTACTGACTCTCTGATATTTTTTAAAGTCTATTTCCTAGCCTACGTTTTAATTTTATTAGATTTTAACCTTAAGAATTACATCAGTAAATGGACATAGAAAGGGAAAAAGCCCTAAACTACCAAATATGAAACGTACTTTTATTTAGAATAGGTATAAAATTCTATATCAATAGGCAGTCTTTCGTCTCCCACAACAAAGCACCAGAATTTGCCTTTACTTTCAACACGATCTTTCTAGCATTATTTTCACTTCATTCAGTCCAGACTCCCCATCCAAAATACGACCCTCACCTCACCGGATAATACTGTACCCTGCAATCAGAAGCAAGTCCTACTGTGTCCTCTAGGGCCACAAACCGCAATAAAACTAAATGGCTTTCCCCCCTGACAACTAGCCCAGTCACGTCTCCGCTGCAAGAACCTGACTGGACATCATGTATGAAGTGCCCTTCCTTCACGCTCCCTATCTGAAGAAACCAACTCACGCAGGGACGGGCGAGTCTGGGGACTAGCTCAGTGCTGGGAAGCATTGGAGTGCCTGCTGGCTCCCGGGGAGGGATGAATGGAGGGAGGGTGAAGCTAAGATCAGGAGACCTGGGTTCTACTCTAGACAGTGCCACTTACTGTAGAGATTGGAACAAAGCACTTCTGAGCTCCAGTTTTTCTGTCTGTAAAAGTGCTTACCAACGCAGAATCAGAGGATCTGTGTCCAAATACTGGTTACGCTACTTGTGAGAGCTACCTGCGCATCGCTTCAGGCCACGTGCATAACCTCCCTGGTTTAGATCCCTTATTTGATCACAGTATCTATTTGCCGCCTCCCCCCTCCCCTCTTTTAACGATGCCTAAGTGAGATAATGCCTCTAATACAGAGCCCAGTGGCTCATAATCAATGCTCAGAAAATATCAGTATTATTATTACTCTGGGCCTCCATAACTTACCCGGCCCCATTGAGAGCCCCATGTCCTCTCCCTCGTCACCTTGAGCTTAGTTCAAGTTTCCAGAAACCCTCCATTCGCTTTCGCTCTTCACCTGGGACCCTGAACGTGCTCGACTGTCTGGAAGAGCTAGGCGGCCACGCGGCTGACGGTGCAGCCCCAAACTCCTCCTCCAAACCCGGCGCTCCGACTTCCTGCGGAATGCCGGTCCGTCTCGATCCCAACTCCGCGAAAAATGGTTCCACGTGGAGCCCGGCGCGCTCCCTTGCAGCTCGAATCTTTTGAGCACTCACCCGCCTTGAGTCTTTTGAGCCCTACCGGCACCCGCCGCAGCCGGAGCGCAGGAAGTGGGCGGGGCGGAACGGGGCGGGACTTCCAGTAGGAGGCGGCAGGTTTGAAAAGGCACAACGGCTGATTGCTGATTTTTGCCTTTGCTTGTGGCTGCTCCACGAACTCGCCGCCTTCCTGTGGGCTGCTGGTGCGGTAGGTGACCGCGAACGGACACGGGAGGACGGAGGAAGGGAGACTGAGGGCGCCCTCTCACCCCTGGGAGGCGCGGGCAGGAGCCAGGACGCGGGGCGCGGCCGTGTTGTTGCGCGCAGCGCTGGGGAGGAGGCTGGAGAAGCCAGCCCCTGGGAGGTGGGGCGAGCGCACAGGTCCTTTTTATGTGGTTTTAGTCCCAGAAACAACCTGAGCTCAGTTCATACACGAGTGAATGAATTGGAACCAAAGTTGTACTATCAAGGAAAGAGAAAATTGGATATGGGAGGTGATTCCAAAAGGAAGCGTTGGAAGTTTGGGAATCCTGGAGGAGACAACCTTGGAACAGAAAATCCTTAGGTTATTAAATTGCGGAAGGTTTTAGAAACCAAGCAGAAAAATTTGAATTTGATGTGGTGTGTAGGATAAGTAATTGAAGTATTTTTGTAAAGATGTTACATGATGCATTAAGTGTTTTGTAAGGATTAGTCTGAAAGCAGAGTGTGCAAAACATATTAAAGAGAAGAGAGCGATGTGCCATAATAATTATGAAGATATTTTACACCTGCTCTTTCTCTCTTGTGATAATCTCCAAACCAGATATAGCTTGTTTCAGAAAAGTGACTTTTTATGTGGTCTTTCTTTGATCAAGTCTTTTTTATCATCCATTTTTAAATAGGACTTAGATGAAAATGTAGAATGTATACTTATGCTGAAAAGGGCATCTAATATGTGAGGTGTCAGAATCTGGATTCAAAAAGATGCTGGCTATAGAATGAAAGCTTGAAATTATGAAATTCAATAATAGGAAATGCAAATGCTTGCTGAAGGTTCAAATAATCAATTATGTAAGAAGAACATGGCGAAGTCCTGGCTTAATATAAGTGTGTTACATGAAGAAGTTCTGGGAGTTTCAGTGGACCTCATATATATATATATGTATTTGTCAGCAAGTGTCACAGTTGCCAGACTAGACTAGATGAGAGTCACTATTGCCAGTTGTATTAATACTCTGCGCTAGGCAGACCATGTCTGGAGTACCGTGTTAAGTTTGAGCGTTGCATTTTAATAAGACATTGACAAAATAGTTTTAGAGGAAAGTGAGTAGAATGGTAAAGTTTCTAAAACAATGTCATATAAGGGGTGGCTATACTTAAAATATACTTACTTTAGACAAGAGAGGGCTAAGCAGAGACATGATAGCATTCTTTACATTTTTGAAAGTGGAGTCATATAAACGGATTAATATATTCTGTGTAGTTGCAGTGACTAGAAATAGGACCAGTAGGTAAAAGTTAACGAACAGATTTCTACACAGTTGGAGGAAGAGTTATCTAATTGTTAGAGCCATACTAAGGTGGAAAAAAGTTGAGAATTCACAGTGAATTCTGTGATGTTCGCAGGTGTTGAAGTGGAACTGGGAATTTGTCAGTCATCTTTTAGAATGGCTTCCTACATTTATCAGAGGTTAGGCAAGTTGCCAAAGCTTCTTTTTAAACCTAAGAAACATTAGGAGTCTAAGGAAATAGATTTCCAGAATTGTGGGTCATTTCAGTTTGTTTGCAAAGTTGAACATTTTCACATTGGATCTCTGGGATCATGCTGCTTCCTTTGAGAGTAGGGGATCTGTAGGTCGCCCCTTACTCCCCCATTAGGAAAGTAGAGCATTCCTATGAAACATTTTGTGAGCCAAAATGATGGGAAGCAAAGAAGCAATTACCATTGATTTATATGGGAAAATTTTTTGAGCATCCTCAGACCCAAAAAATAGCGTACCAAAATAAATCGAGATGAAGCACAGATGTTCACTGACACAGTTCAAAGCCGTGGCAGCTTGATGCTGAGATGCTGAGTGTAGTTCCCAGGGAAGCAGCTTGGCGGCGCTACTATAGCTGCTCAGGGCGCGTGCTGCCTCTAAACAAAACAAACGCTGACCCATATTTTCGCCTTCTTTCCTAAAAGCAAAAGCTTCTCTTCGGATTTCTTGTGGTTATCCATACCTGTAGGTCTTTCGTCAAAGTGAAGTGGTGTAAAGCAAACTGTCGGATAGCGGGGGAAAGCTATATTGTTAACTTGGGTGCCTGGGACAGTGGCTTCTGTTGCTGCTGCTCCTCCTGCTATTGCTATTCTGCTAGGCACAGCTAGAGATTTGAAGAAAATGAAAGAGTCTTAGCTTACTGGGAGGTCACAATGCAGTGCCAGAGTTCTATAAATATTATGATGTAGTGCCAGAGTTCTATAAATATAATCACAATACACCTTGGCAAGTATTGTAACAGGGTTCAATGCGAGGCTCCAGGGCAGGATTTCTTAACTTCAGCATTACTGCCATTTTAGATTGAATACTTCCATGCTGTGGGACTGTCTTATGCATAGTAGGATGTTTAGTAGCATGCTAGGCCTCTTCCCTCTAGATTCCAGTAGCACGACCACTCCAGTCTTGACAACCAAAAATGTTTCCAAACATTGCGAGATGTCTCTTGGGGTGCAAAATTGTGAGAACTACTGCTCTAGGTGGGAATGTCTCATTATCAGAGGACATTAGGGGAAGAGGGCTTTTTGTGTTGTTAAAGTTTTCACCCTGGTGATTTGAATTCCTGCCAATTATACCATTGTATTCTTATTCTTTTTTCTCTTTTCCTACTTGGATCTTAAACTTTATTATCCATCTCACTATGTGTCCATTGCATAGCATGTCAAATCAGAGCACAGTTTTATTATCTACCCTATGTTGCTATTGTTTATATATAGATTCTGCCAATAATGTTGCCTATATATCTTGCTTTGCGGATTAATTCTCAGGTTTGGTCTTGTTAAACCCTGTACCCCCCAAAATTTGAAAAAGGAAAACATAGTTTCTCACCTGTCTCTTCAACTAAATTCCTCTTTCCCATATAAAAAAGAACAACATTAGGAACATTAGAAAATGACTACATCACTTTAGAATAAAAATTATTTTGGGAGATAGGTATATAGTTTGTGTTACCTTACTAGATGATTGATGATAGTTAATACCATTATGAAATGTTCAACCTTGACTTGTTAATTTTGTCCTTATGTTTATCAGCTTCTGGATACTGAGAACTGCTGGTTGTGTCATGTTTCTGATCTTTGCTTTTATTTCCTTCAGGCTAGCAGGAGACTCCCAAGATGGAAACTTTGTCTTTCCCCAGATACAATGTGGCTGAGATTGTGATTCATATTCGAAACAAAATCTTAACAGGAACTGATGGTAAAAACCTCTCCAAGAATGATCTTTATCCAAATCCGAAGGTAAAATGTGGTTGTGTTTGTGTTTGGCTAATGGTATTTGAAAACAAATTAAACTACCAGATCTAAAGTGGGTGGAGAAGGGCCTGTACCCAACTATTTGATGTAGGTTAGTCATTTCAATCCAGAAAAAAATTTCTCACCTAGTGTAATTTTAAAATAACATTTAGTTTATATGGGGGACAACTTCTACATTCCCATCAGGAACTCAGTTCTTTAATATAGTTGTTTTCTTCAAAAAAAAAAAAAGCTTCTAAGCCATAGATATATTAAAGTATATTAAATTTTTTATTATTATTGTGTTGGAGTGGTAGTCTGAGGGTATCATTTATTGGTAGGCTTGAAGGAACTTGGCTCCAAGTGGTTTCCAACCACAAAAGTACTTAGAAACAATCCTCTTTGGGAGCTTACAAATTAATTTTCTTGCATTATGCCCTAAAGGGGAATTGACTTGTTTTGACAGACATTGTTTTTAGTTATTGAATGCAAAAATGAACTATTTGTGTATGTGTCACAGAAAATCCCACAGTCTTCTTCCAGTTTCCTGTGTTGGTCTTGAAGGGATAATATAATAAAACCTAGTTAATGATGTGGAACTCAAACTTTTTGATCGCAGTGCCCCTTTAATTTTTTAAAATGGATGAAGTAATGTCAGAATAAATGAACATGTGTATAGAGTGGAACAGGTTCTGCAGGCCAGCACTGGGGAGCTGCTGATTTAGAGGATAAAACTTTTAAAAATCCCATACTATCCTATTAGATTTATACCCCCTGGACCAAAGTGTTCGCTTAAATGTCAACATCTAAGGGATCCTTAACACCTAAGGCATTAAACAAAGTTTCTCGTGACCTTTTTAAAAAGAAATACAGCCTCAATGTGTCATTTTTGCCACATGCCTAATAACCTGTTTTGAAATACTAACCCTTCTTCCATTCCCTAATGTGGTGGATTGCTCTAATTGGATTTGGATATACTTGTTCTCATTCTGTAAATAAGCTTAAACAACTGATCTTACTGATCACTTATTACATGAGGAAACTGATGAGTATATAAGGTGTTTTAAAACTTGGAAAAATTAAGAAATATTTCAAGGGAAATAGAATAATTTTGTCATTCTTTTCTTCTTTGTATGCATTACCTACAATTTTGGGCAGTAATGATAGTGATACAGCTTTAGAGTCTGGCATCAGAGTATTAAAAGTTGTTTTTCTATTGTAGCCTGAAGTCTTGCACATGATCTACATGAGAGCCTTACAAATAGTATATGGAATTCGACTGGAGCATTTTTACATGGTGGGTTTAGGATGAGTCAAAATTATGTTCTGTTGCTGCATTTCTCCTCACATTACATATAGGTTTTCAGGATGGAGAGTTCTTGACTTTATTTTTAATAAATTAAAAAAGGCTTATATAAAATTATTGCCACTTACAAAGAAATCTTAGGCATAATAATGGTTTATATCGGTAGCTTTAGTAAG